GTTGACGGAAGCTGTGTAGATTCTTCGCTTATCCATTTCTTGGAGAAGACCTACAAACGCTGGTATCCGCTAGATGACGATAATCCCAATGAATTCTTAGTTTTCACAGTTTCTTACCTCTTGTACGCCACGTTCCCGTGATAGCGCTTTCACGACCCGCTCATGTGGGTATAAATCATCGCCTCGATTGACCTCACGAGTACTCTGAANAATAGATAGGAAATCCTGTCAGCCACGTATTTAGCTTTTTCTGTAGCTTGTTCTCATCGAACTCTATCATTCCTCATGTTACATCGATTTTTATTGCCTTGCAGTTCGGAACGCAGTCCAGACACGGTACCTGTCACTCGCTAGTGTGCTCAGAAGGATCAAGAAAATAACTCAGAACTACAACACTTTCATTAACTAACCACAACATTTCTGGGGACGATAGCCATAAGGGGCCGTCTTTTGTGTATTGCGAAGCTAAAATGAAGGATTATTGGGCAAAACCTACCGTTGACGGAAGCTGTGTAGATTCTTCGCTTATCCATTTCTTGGAGAAGACCTACAAACGCTGGCATCTGCTAGATGACGATAATCCCAATGAATTCACAGTTTTCACAGTTTCTTACCTCTTGTACGCCACGTTCCCGTGATAGCGCTTTCACGACCCGCTCATGTGGGTATAAATCATCGCCTCGATTGACCTCACGAGTACTCTGAACAGGGTAACCGTCTCGCCACTACCGAAAACACACTCAATTGCTGGCCCTGTTGAAGTGATGTACAGTCAGTGCCTGACGTACCGCTCTGTCCGCATCTTGTTTGGCTTTCACTTTACCAATGAATCCCTTCAATGCTACATCTCGTATAGGTCTACTGGCGAATGTTTTCATCCTCCTAGACACTCTACCGCTGATATCGCGTAAACGACCTGCAAAACTCCCCTCGATACTGCATTGTACTGACTTTCTTTGCTCAACAAGACTACTTAGGGAGTTGTCGTTGTCACAGTTCCTTCGCAATCGCTCTTGAGGTCCTACTCTTCAAGACGGCTTGGTGTTCATTCGCCATACATTGTAAGGGGGTGGTGTAGTGGCAAGTGGCGAACTGTCACACATAAATGGTCATGGGTTCGGATCCCGGTTCGGCATCCGCCTAGACCAACCAAGCCTTCCATTGCTCCGGGGTCAGATTCATCTGGGAGGATGAAAGGGCTGACTTGTACGTCGGTTAGCCACCTCAAGTCATTGTATCGACCCATACGTACTCGAAACGCCACTACTATTTTGAATGAAAAGCGAATGCCGGGGTACATCCCTCATGTGGGATTGACCAACGTCAAAAGAGTTTGTCCTTTATGTCCTTCTATCCTTGGTCCAAAAGGGTGAGCGAAGGGGATGTAAGCGATAAGTACCCCGTACCTTGAGATGGGCCGATACTTCTTTCAGACTTATCACTGTCGTCCACTGCGCTGAAAATAGAACCACTCAGAAAAAATCAATATTTTCTCCGCGAAGAACTCAGGGGCCTATTCGTGCTCCGACTTGGACCCCTGAATGGCAACCGATGTAGATTTACGTTTTCGACGGCATCGTTAATCAGCACGTTGATAGATTTTTGCGTCATAGATTTGAGACAATTTTTGAAGGGAATGCTCCTGTAGTCATTATGGAACTGTTTCTAACTCGGGAATATCAAAGGCTCTAGGACTCTCATTCCTCT